GCCACAGTTGCTGTACCACCGCTGTACGGCCAGGGCGCGTAGTCTCGGCTTCTCAGCGAAAAACTGATGTGCGTTTGCACGCGCTCTCCAACACGCACGCCAACTGTCATTGGCTTGTTTAGTTTACACTCGAAGGTGATTGGGCTCTCGGGCGAGATCCCAATTCGTCAGTCACGACTGACGTAACGTAGAACGTGACTGACTGAAAGGGAACTGCCTCAATGTCACCATACAACACACACACAGGAGCTTTTTGAGGAACGTCAGATGGTTTGCCTTGCCATGCTGTGCCACAAGTATTCAGCCAGTCAGCCTCTCAGGTGGCAAAGGTGTGCCTCATAAGAGGTCTGGGAGTTTATAGCCTATGCAGCACCATGCCTCATTAGATACTAAATGAGAAGGAGAGAATGACCCTTCTACCCCTGAGCTGCTTATGGAAGTTCACCATGTCTGGTTTAGAGCAGAGCGGCACACGTAATGTATGTTTATCACACATGCTAGAACTAAATCAACAACCCAACTGAAATGGAACCTCAAAAGGTTATTCATGCAACAATACATATTACTGTTAGCCTATAGTTTTCATTAATAACCATTGCTGTATTGATTATACTATAGATTATAATGATTTTAGCATGACTTTGTAAAAAATGTTTACTTAACGGTCTAAAAAATGCAGAACTAAATGGCACATGATGCATTGCATGTGCATGTACACATAGACCCATACGTAGATGTTTACATATATAGTGCAGTCGTCCTGCACTAGACCATTTGCTCATCTTCATGTCATTCCATATAATATAATATATAATAAATGTCAATGGGGTCCAGTGTTGTTTTGGGCCCCACTGACTTTCATTGTGTTCCACAGAAGAAAGAATGTCATAAGAGTTTGAAAGGACATGAGAATGAATAAATTATGTAGACTTTTGAGGCTGACATGTCAAATATTCTGGTCCTTTTAAAACTGATATGTTATTATGTCTGCCAATGCCGTCTCTGAAGGTCACACTCACACACACACACCGTTAGACATTATTACCTGTGTTTACATTAGCTCTCCACTGTTTTATGGTGACCTAACTGTAGCATAATTGTGTCTAATGGCCTATAGAGTACATTTGTGGGACAGTGACATACAGATTTGTAGACCGACCAATCATTCATGATGCTGGGAGCACAGCTCACTATTATGGGCTCCTTTGTGAATGTGTCACAGACCATGCAGCTATTGGTCAATAACCCGGACCCTTGTCTTCTTGAAAGGTGGGGGACTTGGAGAATAGCCTGGTATGGTTCACCTGAGCCTGAAATTGGAAGAATGTGTGAATAGGAGTGAATGGATCAACCTAATGTGTCCCAAGGCCAACACATTCATTTCGGATGCACGGCTCCCACCTCTGTGATTTATGGAAAATGCTACATATGATTCATCATTATGAAGAGCTATGGCCATATGCCATTTAAAAAAAACTAATAAATAAAAATCCATAGCCACAAGCCATCAGGGAAAAAAGTTAATCATGTAAAGTCATGTAAATATGCAAATCAGCATGATGTGTTGCACTGTATGCAATGTATGTGACCCATATCTTTTCACCTATTTCATATTGATTTGTTTATTGATCAGGGTGGATTTCACTTTCTAGCCGTGCTGATTGAATTTGGCTTTCCCTTCCTCTTCAGCACTCCATCACATGTACTTACCACATCTCGAAAATGAAAATGAAAATTCTGTCATCATTTACTCACCCTCACATCGATTCAAACCAGTATGGCTTTCTTTTTTTCTATGGAACACAAATGAGATATTTTGAAAAATAGTCTCTCTGATCTTTCCATGCAAAAGCTTACAATGATCAGGGAAGTATTATTTTTGTATTATTTATATACTATATAATATTTGTTAATGTTTTGAATTAGCTTTTATTTTTATATTTTCAGTTTTTTATATATTTCTATTTAACTCAATTTTTATTTCAGTTTTAGTCATTTTGGCACGGCAGCCTAAACTGAACTAAATATTACTTAAGTTATCTTATTTATTAATCTTATTTTCATTGAATGGTATATTTTACTTTTTATTTTTTCCAATTAACATGTTAGTTTTATTTAACACTTGTTAAGCACTAGTGCAACTTAAGTTGTTATGTATTCTTTTCTAAATGATACCAAACACCCTTGGTAAAAGTCGTACAGGTTTGGAACAACATGAGGGTCAGTAAATGATGAAACTCTTTGATCTCTTTTGATCTTTATTTTGGGTGAACATTTGCTTTAAAATATCAGTAACCTAAAATGTCTTCAGACTTTTAATAATTTGTGATTAATTATGCAAACACTTGTTTTAGCTACCAGACTGGAATAAACAGGGGGGCTGGCATTGCAAAGCAGGGAGGATTCTTTACATTAGCTCTATGCTAGACAGATGTAAATTGTGTTGGTATTAGTTAGGAGTGCCTGTTCTCTCTGCAGTGCTCCGTGTCATGTGTTCCTCTGTGTGAGAGCTAATCAGAGGCTGTTGCCGAGTAAAGCACAGAGTTGAAGACACCCCGCAGAGTGCAGAGCTATTGATTGGAACCTTGTGGACCTGTAAGGTTTCAAACACACCCCCTTTTACAATAAAGATGCCCTAAAACAAATGTAGACTATTTTTTGAATAGGAGACAGGAAAATGAAACTTTGCCTGAGTGCAGACTAAACCGGCTTTTATGTTTTCCAGCAAGCAGCCAAGAATATGAAAGCACAGCAAATGGTCGATTTCCCTATGTATTCTTTGTCACTTTAGTACTATTCTGACTATATGTTGAGAATGTTTGTGGTATATAAACAGTGGATTCCTGTGGACCTTTTCACAATGGCCACAAACATTGGTCCAGACTGATTTTATGCACTTTTGGTTATATTGCAGAGTCTAGCATGTTGGTGGTGGTAAAGCTATTATTCCTATACTGGCATGTCATGTTTGGTTTTTGTCAGTTTTTACTCATACATTTGATGTCAATTCATTGGCTTAAGTGTCCAACAGCATTGTCCTTACTGCAGGCAGGCTCTCAGCAACATTAGCACAACCTCTCTCCAGTAGTGCTTCACTTCCAGCACAGAACATGACCTGCTGTCTGTAACTCAGAAAGAACAGCATGTGATGCACTACAGATGTCTGAATGTATGGCCAATTCAAGTGATGAATGAAAAAAAAAAAAAGAGTCATAATACAATAATATGATGCAATGACATTATTTGCATTTCTATTTTTGATGGTTCCACTTGGTTACTCTTGCCAAATAATTTCCTGAAGGGTCCAGGTCAGCCTCTTATTTCTAATGGTAAGCTATCATCAGAGAACCTAATTTTGGCGTTTCTCACTCCTAATCAGAAATGCATCATAGATATCTACAGCAACCAGATGGACACTTCAGACCATAGAATTCCAATGTGTTTTTTTTTTTTACAGATGTAATTAAATTAATTGCTCTCTGATATTTATGATGTTTCTGTTTGTTTGACCAATTTTTAGCCTGTTTGCGTGGATGAGGACAGAAAGTTATTTCTGAATACACATTTCAGTTTTGGTTTTGCTTCCTTAATAGTCAGTGTGTTGAATTATATTGTATTGCAGCAGTGGTAGATAGCAAACCAATAATTGTTTGTGAGAAAATAAAATACAACTAACCATATAATCATGCCTAGTAGGATAGCAATATAAATAGGCTTATAAAACACTTCCCATATTTTTTATTGTTATCTCTGTTCTAACTATCTATCTATGGTATTTTGACCAACATTTATGACACTAGGTAGAAGCTAGACAAATTAGAAAGATGCCAACATATATAGCATGAACAAAACTACACAATTTACTATATATATATATATAAGACCCTATAACACTAGCGTTCCCTATTTTATTAAATATTCTATGCTTTCTATCTACTTGTTTTTCTTTTTATTTATTACCAAAAAAAAAAGCCTTGCTACGTGTACTGTGTTAGGCTAACCGAGACTTGTCACAGCACTTACATATTATTGCCCTTTTGTTGGTTTTGATTGCTTCTGTTGTCCTCATTTGTAAGTCACTTTGGATAAAAGTGTCTGCTAAATGACTAAATGTAAATAAATAGATTTTTATAGATTTTTTTTTTTTGCATGATAAACATTTAGGTGCTGTGTTGGGTTTCCATTTGATGTCAATGTAAAATCTGGGTCCTGAAGCAAAACTAATTGACAACCAGTGTTGTAATGGATGGATAACTGCATTGAGACTGTGCGCTGCTGCCATCTCTGGACAGCCTAGCAGAACAGCACTCTCTTAACATAACATTTTGCTTTTAAATGCTGCCAAGTGAACATCTTGTTCTCTAAAAAAAATACATAAATATATAAAAAGGAGAGGAAATTAAATCATGTTTAACGTTTTAATTGGTTAGAATTAATGTTATTGTTTTAGTATTAATTAAACTGTAGTTACATGTTGTTTTTTAATCAGTAGGGCAGTCAGTGGATTTCTTTTAATATGCATTCATAGGTATGTTTAGAAAATATGAAACAATCTATCATCTTAGTTTTATCTTATTCACTTTAATTTATGCATCTCTTCTGACAGGAGAATGAGAAGTGATCCTCTAGTGTGTTCCAACCTAATCATCTGAGGCCTTTATTTTGCTTGATAGACATGGAGAAAGATAAAAGGTTATGGCACATAAAGTCAGTTAAGCCTCAAAGGGACACATTAATTCATAGCAGTGCACCTTACAGGCTAACCCCTTCCTCTCTCAACACCAGAAGTGAGGAACTGATTATAAAATACACCATCTTTACATTCTACTTGAAAACCAGCTGAGTTTTCAAAAGGGGCAACCAGAAGTAGAGCTAGACAACTTATGTAAATTTTGGACTGTCCACCAAAATTTTTTGAAGGCTATGTGTGAAAACACAATGTGGCCCCATCACAGAACGAGACGTTTGTTTCAAATGAGTCTTCTGGCTTCTGTCCACAGCTGAAACAGAGCGAAGCCAATGCTGATACAAAAGAGAAACTTCCTTTGCGATTACGGATCTTTGAGAAGTTCCCCAATCGACCACAGATGGTGAAAATCTCCAAATTGCCATCAGACTTCACTGTGCCCAGAATCAGGTACCGTTTCCACTGAATAATATCTCATATCTTTTGAATTGTTGAAGAGATGGAATTTTCATTTGATGTAAAAAAAAACTAAACAAAAAAAAAAACTTACATTAAAGGACCCTTCCAATCCATATATATGAGCCAGAGTATCATTGGGCCATCTATCAGCCATGCTGAAACCTTAGCATCCATCTAGCAACCATGTTGAACACTTTAACAACCATCTATCCACCATCCAGATCACCCTAGCGACAACTCTAAACACTTTAGCAGCCATGTAGCAACAACCTTCTGTGGCTACATGCTAAAAGCCTTCTTAGGATAGAAAAAACACCTTAGAATTGTGGCGGCCAGTTTTGCATGGGAAAGTGTCAGTCAGATCAGTCAGAAAACTATTATTAATTTATTCTAGAATTAAAACAATTTAAAATGTGGATTCACATTTGACTCTAACACATGACAGATTCATTCTCCGAAATGCAGCAAGCATATTGGCAAACATGCTTATTACTTTACACTGAATGCCTCCTACTTCATCCTCAAGAATCCTCTGAAAACGTGAAGTCCCTTGTGTGTTTGCATGTGACTATTTGGTTATGCATGTGCCGTGGGCGTGTGTCACAGGGAGAGCTTCATGAAGCAGTTCATCGACCGACAGCAGCAGGACCCCAGCTGTCTGTTCCGTCGCCTTCCCTCAGCGTCGTCCTCATCCTGTGACCATTCCAAGAGGTCTGCCATTGAGGATAATAAATACATAGATCAGAAGGTACCACACTCCATCACTCCCACAGTCTGCCCCCTCAGTACACACAGGGACTAAATAATACGCTCATGAATGTTCTGAAAGGAACAGATCTATTTCCCACGCAACAAGACTTAAATAACCAGCAGTTATATAACTATATTTTGTTGATTACGTTGGGATGTTTTTGTTTGCTGATATCAAATTCAGCTTTACCCATATAATAATAGTTGTTTGCGAATATATCCTTCTGAATTGTACTGTGTATTGAGCCGTGTCTCCTGTGTGCATCTTACTGTCTAAACCGCTTTTTCTTCCTAGCTCCGAAAGTCAGTATTTAGCATCCGGGCCCGTAACCTCATGGAAAAGGAAACCACTGTCAATAAAATTCTGCGGTGAGCTTGTGATTTTCTCCCAGCAATTTCAGATCTTTTAGTCAACTTATTGTATATAAGATTCATTTAATTTAATATTAAAAACTATTAAATTTTTTTTTTTTTTTTATAAATTCAGTGACTGAGATTGATATTTTTTTAGCAAGGCTACAAATTCATTATCATATAGTCATTTACAAAGTCGATACTAATCCATTTTTAATACGTGCAAATATATTTACAATATCAGTCATGCTTTTTGCAATTTTTATATTCAGATAACAGAATTCACTGAGTTATTGAATGAGACCCAGTGATTTTTCCATCAACCTGAAATGTTAAAATGAGTTTGTATTAAGATATTTATTCATAATATAGATATGTGATGGGCCAGCAGGAATAATTATAGAGCATTGCTTTGTTCTCTGGCAGCCTTGGACAAAAACATTAATTCCTATACAGAGTGAATATGCTTTCATATTGATCCTCCATTTCCATGATTTCGACTCCATGTTTGTGATCCAGCCAGCCCAGCAGTCAGAGCAGATAATGGCGTCTCCATGTCAATATAACTGTTAGTGGGTCACCTGTGAGCATGAATTAACAAATGAATATTTAAAAATCTGCCAGCGATGCAGCCACATATTCCCACACTTTGCTTCAACTGCTCTCGTCTCTGTCGTTAAGTTTCAGATCACGTCGATGCTGTCCCCACCTCCCTCGTGTTATATACACACACACACACACTCATACACCTCACCTTGTCCACCCCTCCTCCTGCTGCTAAGCAGACAGACTGCACATCAGTAGCCATCCCACGTCGTCTGGGCATACAGTCTGTCTGCATACACACATGCGCACATACACATCCTTCATCAGCCAGGCACTCATCACTCTGAGTGGCCATAAATAAGGGCGACATGTTCTCTTGAAGCTGAAATTGTCATTAGCTGTGTTCTGGTACATGACTCTGCAATTAATGGACAATAGAGAGGCGGTAGTGAGCAAAAGAAGGCTTTTCAAAGCATACATAGATCAGCACTGATTTAGAGCATAAACAGACACTGAGATATCAGCAGCAGTACAATCTCCCAATGCCAATTATAGCAACAGCCTCCAGACATAGCTTTGAAAGATTTGCACCACAAGGGGCTTCTTGACTATTTCTTCTTACAAATCACGTTATTTTAAATAGTACTGCGTTTATTTATTTATTTTTTGTTTTTATACAAATACTTGCGTTTAAAGATAAAATTATGGTTGATTTAATTCAGTTAATTATTTGTACTGAACATTATCCTTTATAGCGTGATAAAATTTAAATTTAAAGAGTTAAATCAACCAAATGTTGTCTCTAAATTAAGAATGCTGTTAAATACATCAGCATTAGCGCATGGGAAAGCTCAAATGGGGTCGCTTGCTGAGAATGTCCCACATGCTTACTGAAAGTTACTTTGGAGTAAATGGAGTCAACTGATCATCATCATCTATGTTTTGTCATTTTTGTCATAAGTGGAACTGGGGCCTAGTAGATATGTAACCTCATATATCTAGACTAAGTATGCCAAATTTTTCCTTGGAGATTAATTCCCTCCTATTGCTTCATCTTCACTTCACTGTTAGCATGAATTTTTAGTGCACCACAGGTCACATTTGACCAGTCTAAAAAAAAAGGATTAATTAGTTTCCTCTCCATGGGTGCCCATGGTTTCCACCTGCACAACACAGTGTTAGCTAATAAAACCATCTGCTGTGTCTGATGTACAACAGCGTACATGACAGACAGTAGTGGCATAGCTTAAAGGCTGTTCATTGATGATCATCACACAATCCTATACATTTACAGTATGTCTAGTAAAACTTGTTTGCATTTGTAGTACCCCACAAAAATTAAAAGCCATTTAGCTTTTGTAGTGTGAATTATTTCTGACTGAAACAAAATAGTCAGTGGAAATAATTTAGGATGGGACTTCAAAAAGGAAATAGTTATTAGATTTTGATGAATGACCCACTTAAATAAATCATGCTTAGTAAGACTAAGAAATTAAATTAGAAGCCAGTTTTGATTTTTAAAAAAAAGAATACCACACTGTGTTTGTTTTGTATTTTATTAATTTGCTCTTGACCTAGTTATGGTTTGTCTGTGTGAATTTTTTCAGAGCCTGCACTAGACAACGTATGCTGAGTGGCTCTTTTGAGGGTCAGCCAACTAAAGAGAGATCCATACTCAGTGTCCAGCATCACATCCGCCAAGAACGCCGGTTAGGAAAGCACATTGACATGCTTTCACATACTCATCTATTTAATTTATTTAAGGAGCATTGGATGGATGCAAAGTCATAATGTGCACTACATTATGCTAGTGTGTTAACCTGCTCTTTCTGGCACAGGTCCCTCAGACACGGCTCTACCAGCCAGAGAATCAGCAGAGGGAAATCCCTGGAAACACTCACTCAAGATGTGCGTATACACACACACACAGACACACACTCAATAGCTGACAGCGCTATCTGTGACGATCTGTGATCTCTGACATGTGTGTGAACTCTTCAGCACTCCAGCACGGTCCGCTACCGTAACGCCCAGCGGGAGGACAGTGAAATCAAGATGATACAAGAGAAAAAGGAGCAGGCTGAGATGAAACGGTATTTCTGCCACTCCATACACTCTCCTTGGCATGCGGTCAGTTGAACAGATCTTATCCCCCTCCCCAAACAAAACATGCCGTGTGGGAGTTATTACACCATATCTTTCTCTTGTACTGTATGCTGATGGTGGCATAATGCCATCGGTATATGACAACAAGACATATTGCAGGGAAGCAAAGTCTTTGTTTTAGGTTGGCTGTATTTATTTGTAATGTTAAGAGGCCAAGGAAGGACTGTAAAAGAGAGATCAGATCACATTTGAGCTGATTTACAGAAACAGTACGCTACAAAAACTAATAAGGTCCCTTCTGTGCAGCCAAGATCTTTCTGTGTCAATACTTTATCCCAAAGTCGGACTAATAAAAGCAGTGTTTACCGAAGACTTCAAAATGATTTATTGTTATGCCTATAATGTTTTTGTTTTGTTTTTTTCCAGAAAAGTCCAAGAGGAGGAACTCCGGGAAAACCATCCGTACTTTGACAAGCCACTCTTCATCGTTGGTAGAGAGCATCGCTTCCGAAACTTTTGCCGAATGATTGTGCGGGCCCGTTTCAATGCGTAAGACCTAAGCAAATACAAATCCACTGCAGTATATTATTAGTTACAATAGCATTTTCATACGCATCAATGAGATGACTAATCCCTTTGTGCCATAATCACTGAAAAAATGCCATGTTGTTTCACAAACTGTTGTGTGTGTGTGTATGTCTGTTACATTTCTTTGCTGACATTATATTAATGGGCTTTTTATGAATAGGTCAAAAACGGATCCCAATACAGGCGCAGTGAACAGCACAAAATACCATCAATTATAGTAAGTCCCTAAATGTTTAGGGCCTTTGCACCATGATAGCCTGGTAATATACACAATTCAATATAAAAAAAAATTATTGCAACGTACACCTAAATATTTATTTTGCAATAAATCATAATTTAAAATATATGTAATATAAAAGGAATCATAATATATTATTTAAATTGTAAAATATGGGTACATTAATTTAAATTTAAAAAAGTGCAAAAAATTAAGAATTTTGGGGGGAAATGTGCTTAATTGTCATGAAATTAATAGTATTTCTTTTTTATTTTTGGGGTTAAAATATGACTTGCACATGTTTTCTTGAGATTCCCTCATTTATATGCCTATTTTGATTCTAGAAATGTAATATGAGAATGGGCTTTGGAAAGTTTTGATCTGTCAGACATGCCAGGGTGGGTTTGTGTGGGATTAGATGAAAACTTTTGGGCTGCAATGTCCTAGCAGGATTTCACCAGTTTCAAAAGATCTGCAAAGTTAAGACAAAGTTATGTAAGCTCAGGCTGAAAAGAAGCTAGAATGCAGAGTAGGAAAAGAGTAGCACATTTAACCTGCACTAAACCTTGCATGTGTATGTGTCTGTGTGTGTTCTCCAGTGATTTGCTGGGCTTGGTAACCTATCTGGACTGGGTGATGATCGTGGTCACCATCTGCTCTTGTATTTCCATGATGTTTGAGTCCCCTTTTACTAGGGTCATGCATGTACCTACCCTGCAGGTATTCTAAACCCATCTGGTCACCATTTTATTCTACATGCACATCCGACTAACTTTTTATACCCTATAAATGTTCCTCATCTCTTTCCTGAAGGCTGGTCATCATGTCTCGTTTTTGTTGCAGTCCAGCACTTTTGATTGCCACTCTTAACTTGTTTCGCCCTTTTGAGCACATTTGATCATGTTCCCCACTGATTTAGTCTACTTTGGAGTTCAAGTTGACTTTGAAAGAGAATGTTTTTAGGGTGCCTCTGTTTCAGAGATCTTGTACTTTTTGAGACAGAAAGATTGGGCTGATTGACCAGCCACTCTTGAAAATCTTCTCTCTCTTTTTTTTACACCACTGATTGAAACTTTAGACAGTCCAGGATGATCTGATCTTTACCTGATAAGATTATTTTCAAGAGCACAGAGAAAGATTTTTATCCTGGCATCAGTTTTTGTGTTTTAACCAGAGGTGGACAAAGTACACAACTCCATTACTTGAGTGAAAATAAAGATAAAAAATGCTCTCGCTGTACTTTGATGTCTGTGCAGTGCTGCTTCAAGTCAAAAGCCTATTGTGCTTTGTTAGGAGACACACAACAGTTCTTCTGTGGCTTTATAGGTAATATTTTCGTTTGCACAATTTTGCAAAATCAGACAATATTGTGTCTAATATATACCACAATATTAACTTCTTATTAAATTGTTGTAAATAAATATCACATTTGCTACTGGTCAGTGTTAAAAAATGCTGGGAAATCACTTCACGAATCCCTACAAGAGTGATTACTGATAGACTATCTGAATAGAAGGGGAAAAAGCTGCTACATAGAGGAGTGACGTTAAAGTCATAAGTTTCCAGACAAAATTATACTCAAGTAAAGTACAGATACTCAAAAAGTGTAATTAAGTAAAGTACTCAAGTAAATGTACTTCCCTTTCAGTCGGTCACTCCGAGTCACATCGATGACCGACGAATTGGGATCTCGCTTCGAGAGACCAGTCTACTTTGAGTGTAACTAAATGAGCCAATGTACATTGGCATGCAATTATTGTATCCAGCTGCCGCTGATCACAGTGTGAGCATAAAAAGGCAGCCGGTGCAATGCATACCAGCTTTTCGTTTCGGAGCCGAGCGACAACATCGTTCAGCTCCATCCGAGTGTCTTCAGTGAGCTACAAGTTCAACGCGCTCTTGGAAGCTTCTGGTGTTGCCGGACGGCGCTTCAGCGGTGGTCGTTCCTGTGTTGAGTGGGTTGCACACTTCAGGCTGCACTACCCCCTGTTGTGCTGCAAGCGGCCATTTCCCCTATGCGCCTCAGCACTAAAATGGCATTTCCCTGAAAGAGCAATTTCTCTAAAAGAGCTCCACGGGTGCGTCTTTGTAAAGATGACGGATCAGAGCTGCGGATCAGGCTTCGCTACCTCCAGGGGGGCGGAGTTCCGTTGCCTCTGCTGCGATCTAGTGCTCGTTCTGGCGGCTGCCAGACGAGGACTACTTCCAGCAGTAGCGCGGGTGGTCTTGAGGGTTACAGTGGTGGCAAACCCCTTAGGGAACCAACCCTCGGGGACCCACCACTCCTCCAGCACTCCGCAACCAGCCGAGCCACCGAAGGAACGCGTTGGGCCCTCTTTAAAGAGCGTACCAGCGGTATCCCTCGGGGCTCCTCCCGATGGCCGGATGTCGATCGCTGCATTGGAGGGAGAGCTCTCTGGAGAGGAAGATTCGGCTGCGCTGCCACCCTCCGGGATGGTGGCAATGCCTGAATTGGATCCAGAGATGTCTGCTATGCTTTCCTGGGCCGCCGAAAGGGTAGGGCTCGAGTGGAGTCCTCCACTGCGTCCCGAGCCCTCGAGGTTGGATGATTGGTTTCTCGGGGTGGCTCGCGCTGGTTCTCAGCACCCCGCCCCGGTGCCTTTCTTCCCGGAGGTGCATGAGGAGCTTACCAGGTCGTGGACGGCACCTTTTACTGCCAGAAACCGGCCTTCTAGCTCCTCCTCCCTCACCACCCTCGACGGTGGTGCAGCGAAGGGGTATTCGGCGATCCCCCCGGTGGAGCGGTCGGTAACGATGCAGTTGTGTCCTAAGACCGCCTCCTCCTAGCGGGGAGACCCGTTGCTCCCTTCCCGGGCCTGTAGGCATTCGTCTGGTCTGACCGGCGGTGCTTATACGGCTTGTGGGGAAGCTGCTTCCGCCTTACACGCTATGGCTTTACTGCAGGTGCACCAGGCCAAGGCACTGAAGGACCTGCACGAGGGTGGTCACGATCCGGAAGTTCTGAAAGAGCTCTGAACCGCCACTGACCTCGCGCTCCGAGCGACGAAGGTCACCGCGGGTTCTCTGGGTCGTGCGATGTCCACGCTTGTGGTCCAGTAGCGCCATCTCTGGCTGTGTCTGGCCGACATGAGGGATGCCGACAAGGTTCGGTTCCTTAATGCCACTGTGTCCCAGACCGGCCTCTTCGGCAACGCGGTCAAGAGCTTTGCCCAGCAGTTCTCGGCTGCACAGAAGCAGACTGAGGCGATTCGACACATCCTGCCCCGGCGGGCAGCTGCTGCATCCCCCCGCCCGCCGGCCGCAGCGCCCCAGCCTGCTCGTCGCCGAGGGCGGCCCCCGTGAGTTTTGTTTTGTTTTTCCCTGCCGTTGGCCTCACGGTCGACGGTACACAAATTTCTCGACAAAAGAGCAGTTTTCACTATCTCTGGGTCTTAAGAGGGCACGGAGAGTAGCGGACGGTTCAACCCCGGACCGCACTCATCCTCATCTGTCACCAGCAGGCAGCAGTGGACGGTTTGAAAGCGTCAACAAAGGCCCTACTCACGCACCCTCTGCCAAACTGTGGAATCAGGTAAGTGCTGCACTGCACACTCGGACTCCTCTTCGCTCTGCTCACAAGCCATCCACGTTGGATCCCTGCGTTCCACCTCGCTGCCCCACCGCGGGTACGGCGGTGGTTCCGTTGGTCCCGCTTGCACGGTATCTGGGTGCCTGGCTAGCGCTACCCAACCCGATCAGGGTCTTGCTTTTCCTTTTTTCAGCAAGGGTTGGAGTGAAGGCTGTCTCCCTCCACCCTTTAAGTCTATGTCGCTAAAAAAAAAAAGATTGCTGCTAACCATGACCCCATGAAAGGGAAGTTGGAAGCATGACCTGGTCATCAGGCGAGAGGTTAAATCCTTCCCGGCCCCTCTCCATACCCTCTTGGGACCTGTCTCTGGTGCTTAAAACACTACAGCAGGGCCCATTTGAGCCTTTTGCAGTCAGTTGAGCTAGAGTTTCTTTCAATGAAAACTCTGCTCCTGCTTACACTGGCCTCCATCAAGAGGGTAGGGGACCTGCACACATTTTCGGTCGACGATTCGTGCCTAGAGTTTGGGCCGGCTGACTCCCAGGTAATCCTGAGGCCCCGGCCCGGCTATGTGCCCAAGGTTCCCACTACTCCCTTCAGGGATCACGTGGTGAGCCTGCAAGCGCTGCCCCCGGAGGAGGCAGACCCAGCCCTAGCTTTGCTCTGTCCTGTTCGAGCCTTCAGAGGCTATATAGGCCAGACACAAAGCTTTACGACCTCAGACCAACTCTTTGTCTGTTACGGAGGCCGGCAGAAGGGGAATGCCGTCTCTAAGCAGAGGATGGCCCACTAGACAGTGGATGCCATCACCCTGGCTTATCAGGCACAGGGTGTGCCCTGCCTGCTCAAGTTGCGAGCACTCTATTAGGAGTATTGCATCCTCCTGGGCGCTGGCTTGTTGCACCTCGCTGACAGATACTTGTAGAGCTGCGGGCTGGGGTGACCCCCACGTTCACTAGATCCTATAGCCTTTGTGTGGAGCCGGTATCCTCCTGTGTTCTCACCTCAAACGGGTAGAGACACTGAGAGGCCCCAATTTAGTGTCGGCTTGCTAGAAACTTCTCCAGAGGTTCCGTACTGTAGACCCTGTCGAGCTCCTCCGTTCCCTCGGCAGCCAGACGTGGTGGAATGTCCAGTGCCAGGCCCCCACTCGCTGAACCCGTGAGAACCGGTAGAGGGATGGGTTCCATATGTAGAGGCCTAAGTGGTTCCTATATGTGTAAAGTCTACGGTATAGCCTCAGAGCCTGTGTTTCCCCGGCAGACTTCTGCCATTTCCATGAGGGTTACAATCACCTCTAATCTTCCATATGCACCTAAATGGATGTCATATGTGTAAGTGCTTCCGAAACCTCTTTCGGGAAGGATGGCAACGTTCCTCTTCCAAGTAGAACGGGTACGTTTTCCCAGTGTTATCCAATCTCACTGAGTGGGTAATGCTATGACAACAGTGACTGGTCTTCTTGTTGCGAACAGGACACTGGAAGGGGCAGCATCCATGGCGCTTTGGTAGGGATCCCAATTCGTCGGTCACCGACGTGACTCGGAGTGACCTACTGAAAGGGAACGTCTCGGTTACATATGTAACCCTCGTTCCCTGAAGGAGGGAACGGAGACGGCTGCTGTACCACTGCTGAGCGGCCTGTAATAATTGCATGCCAATGTGCATTGGCTCGTTTAGTTACACTCGAAGTAGATTGGTCTCTCAAAGCGAGATCCCAATTCGTCGGTCACCGACATGATGTCTCCATTCCTTCCTTCAGGGAACGAGGGTTACATACGTAACCGAGACGTTCGTTACTGTCCACCTCTGGTAATGACACTCTAAATTACTAATTTGCCAACAATTTCTAAATTACCAACAGACAAGGAATTGTTATGACAAAGCTGGCAAATCTTCAGTTACATTTTTTATAAAAAGCTGCTTAATGAAAATTGTTATTCTATTGTACACTAAACCACCCCTTTCCCTGCAGATCGGAGAATACGTCTTTGTCATCTTCATGAGCATTGAGCTGAACCTGAAGATCATGGCAGATGGTCTGTTCTTCACTCCTACTGCAGTCATTCGAGACTTCGGTGGTGTCATGGACATCTTCATCTACTTAGTAAAACTCCTTTCTCAGCTCTCCTGTGAAAAACCCACATTCCGACACATGTGAAAGGCAGCCTTCTTGCTGATTACTCACTTCTCTAATACGGCTCTGAAGATTGCGTTTTAATGATCCTAAACAGTGTTTTATTTAAATTACCCAGTCACGTCAGTTTCATCCCGTTGACTCATTTAAGAAGAATCTCACAAAAATTATTTGCATTTAATAGAACAGCCTACACCTCCACTGCTGACTATTTCATGATTTTTTTTGCATTTATTTTAATAAAGCAATGTGCCATAGAAAAATAATCTGCAGTTAGTGATTTCATGCTCAAGACAAGGATTAAATGAAGAGTTGTGCCCTTTAAGGTGATCTTTCTGCCTGCTCTGTAGGTCAGTCTGATCTTTCTATGCTGGCTACCAAACAATGTGCCTCCTGAGTCTGGTGCCCAGCTCCTCATGATGCTACGCTGCCTACGGCCATTGCGTATCTTTAAACTGGTGCCCCAAATGAGGAAGGTGGTTCGAGAGGTCCTCAAGGGTTTCAAAGAGATCTTCCTGGTGAGTAAGCAAATCAGCCCACTTCCTGCTTGTAGTCGCTCAATAAAAGGAGAGCAGTTATAGCTGGGTGTTTGTTAATTCTTCTAAAATATATATTGTTCGTGCTAACTTTTTTGTTTCCTCGTTATGCCTATTAACATTTATTTTTTAGCATTTTGTCTTTTTTGCAGCATTGTTTCAATAGATGATATTTTGAAACAGAGAGGTTTGCATTCTGAGTACATCAAACACTTTTATTTAAAATGTTTTGTGATATGACCCCTTTAATTGAAAATCAGGTAGCTCTCTTCTTTGCAGTAATGGGATGTAATGCATTAACTCAGCAGTATTTGTCTGAGAGATTTCTTTATGGACCTTCTTTATTAAAGCTTTGCTCCCCTTGGGTACTTTTCTTTGAGCTTTTTATAGTGTTACTGTATGTGAGAGTAATATACTGACCATATTTTTTTGGGAAAGCCATTTCGCTGTAGACTGGATTATTGATTTCCCAAACAGGTCTCTATTCTTCTTCTGACACTAATGCTGGTGTTTGCAACCTTCGGGGTGCAACTCTTTGCTGGAAAACTTGCCAAATGTAATGATCCCCATATCTCCAGTAAGGTACAATGTAATTCTTGCAACTTTCAAAATATGTTCCTAAGTGGAGGATTTTCTGTACTTCACTGAAATTTTGTGCTTTGTGTTCTTTTTCAGGAGGACTGCCACGGCATCTTTAGAATCAACGTGAGCATTTCAAAGAACCTGAATTTAAAGCTCAGGCCAGGCGAGAAGAAACCAGGATTCTGGGTGCCAAGAGTTTGGTATGAAATGGAAAAAGAATGTTCTCTATAGTTTCTGTTGTTTTTTTTTAAGGCAAGCATCACTTTGACTGTTGCTTATACTTAAGATTATTCAACCCTTTACTGTTTGTGCTTAAAACATGAATGATACATCAAATTTGTGACTTGTTGATATTTGCGATTTCTTTTCTAAGCAATGTTGAATTTGTCTGTCCAGTGATAAAAGAGGCATACAAAGAAACACAATGAAGAAGGGACTCAAGTCATATTTAGGGACCAGAATATCATTGAGACTAGTAAGGGCCAATATGCAACAACTTACCCAAAAACTCATCAGAACAAAATAGCAACTCCATAGCAACACCCTAGAAACCACCCAGAATACTCTGGAAACACCTTAACAACTGCATAGCAATGCCCTGGCAACCACCCAGAACACTAGCAACTCCTCTGAACAAACTGGCAAACACATAGGAACACCCTGGCAAAGACTCAGAACACCTTAACATATCGTAGTAGCAATGCCCTGCCAACTACTCTAGAAACCACCCAGGACACATAGCAACCATGTAGCAACACCCTGGCAACTACCAGTGACTTTTGCATGGGTAACATTCAGATTTTTTTTTAATTATTATTAATGCAAAATAAAATTCTCTAAAATTTGACTACATTTTTAAGATTTGAAAGAAAAATTGTTTCCTTAAATAAATAAATGATTTTCCTTTTAAAAGCACAGAATAATTCAACACAAACCTAACCTGTCACATCTTCAGTATTTAGGTGTTTTTGACAAATCCCTGTAGTAACAGTTCATCTATGACAGCACAAACCAGTATGATGAATGCTCTCATCACATAAACATCACATCACATTTTCATCGTCTTTCATTGTATTTTCCCCATTAGCAATAGTCAGTGTTGCAGTGCAGTTGTATGGTTTTTCATGGACACAGAGCAGGGGGCTGATATATCCTTTCCTCAGGCATAAACACAAACAACACACAATCATACGCCCACACACCAATGAGTCTGTTATTGCTCTAGAGGTATGTAGCAACACATTGGCAAATTATTTGTTAGACGTTAAATAATGAAGACCAGCAAAAGGCACACATTGGTCCATAGCTGTTCTAGAGCAAGCAAGGTTTCTGCTAAGCCTGAATAACAGAGAGAGTTATTTTTTCTTTTACCTTTGAGCATTTTGCATGGTAACAGGAAACGAACAAGGCGTCTGATCCTCTGGGTATTGTGGATATTGTGTTCATGTTCAGCCCATAGAGCAGTGCGTCTCCAGTCCGCTCACATACACATACACACACACACACACGCGCGCACACACACACACACAGACAGGCAGACAGACACCTTAACATTTTGGTATATTTTATACCTGAGATAATAAAACAGGGAACAGCTGAAGTTTTTTCCACCTTGTTGTTTTTTTCTATGTGTTAAGAGCAGTGGAACTTTATCTTTAACTCAGAAGATGAGTTGACAAAAATAGTTGGTCCCAAGGTAGTTGTTAAGTTTAGGTATTGGGTAGGATTAAGGATGTAGAATATGGTCATGCAGAATATGTGCTTTATAAGTACTAATAAACATTCAATATGCTAGTAATATACATGCTAATAAGCAACTAGTTAATAGTGAGAATTGGTCCCTAAATTGTTACCAATTACTTAGATTCAACATTTCATGTTGTTTCATGTCATTGCTTTAAGGGTGAATATAACAAATACATATCTGGTTCATATTTAAATCAAATAAAATTTTAGTGTCTTTAACGTTTTTCCATTGTGACATTTATTTTCATGACCATTACATACTATAATGAAAATCATTCTATGCAAATACTTTTTTTAATCAGTATAAATTATTTTCAGTACAACAATACTAATAAGATGTATGGTTACAATTAAACTTTACACATATACTTTACATTTATAATATTATTTTTTCTGCATTACAGTAATAAGAATTTGATTTTTTTTTTCATAACAGAAAGTCACTGCGAATTGGGGAGCAAGGAGAAAGTAAATGTGCTCATGAAAATAATGTCACAATGGAAAATAAAAAAAGCAGGCTTAAGTTTGTAAGATATAATTTAATATTTTACTTTTGAGTTAGGGGTGACATTTTTTCTTCCTAAGAATAGACACAAATAAATATGCCAAATATCTCTTGAACTACTGTTTTTAGGGCAAACCCTCGAAACTTCAATTTCGATAATGTAGGCAACGCCATGCTGGCTCTGTTTGAGGTGCTGTCACTGAAGGGTTGGGTGGAGGTGAGAGACGTCATCATACACAGAGTGGGACCGGTAAGTTACTTTCATTAAGACACTAAACTGTATACTGAACTGACAAATCAGGACTGCACTGTTTAGGACCTTTGATTGTCTCTTAAAACAGATTCATGGCATCTACATCCACGTCTTTGTGTTCTTGGGCTGTATGATCGGGCTCACTCTTTTTGTTGGTGTTGTCATAGCCAACTTTAATGAAAATAAGGTATGGCAGTTTTCTTATGAGTAGCTACAGTAGATTTGTTGGCTGATCCCTGATCAGATGTTGTTGGATGTGTTTGTTTAGGGTACTGCTCTTTTGACCGTGGATCAGAGGAGATGGGAAGATTTGAAAAGTCGCCTGAAGATTGCTCAGCCCCTCCACCTCCCCCCACGTCCAGGTAAGTGCTCACTTGAGGTCTACAGAAATAAAATGTCAATTTGTGCACCATAATAATGTTGCTCTGTTGTAGTTTGTGCGCCATCATGTGTTTGAAAATATAGAAGTAGCAAGAAAAACAATATACTGATATATTTTAATTACACTGAAGTATAAATTACATCAGTTTGTTTGATTCAAAGTCATAATGCTCATATTTTCTCTGTCAAAGACATCTGAAGATAACTAAGGCTTCTTATTTCAAAGGGAGTTTGAATCTTCGGAATCGCTGAAACAGCCACTAAGCGACATGTTGGTGATGCACAGATAAACGTCACCAGAGCAGCGAGTGTATTATTCAGCAGCAGCCTCTCAGTCTCTCATCTCTTTCTTTCTTTTTTTTCTCTCCCTCCTTCCATCTTCCACTCTTCCTCTCCTGGCTAATGAGCCATCCCTGCTTTGCATGTGTTTCCTGAAGCATTTAATCAGCTCTCTTCTGCTGTAGTAGAGAACAAACTAAACTTAAGCTTTCAGCAGTGGGTACACCCCCAAGGCACACTTGATATCAACCACTCCACTTTGAGTCAGAAGTTATAGCTGCCTGTAATATGAATGACTTTGCGCTCTTGTGGGCACCTCGGAGCCAAAGAGAGAAGAGCGATTCTGTCTGTGTCTCCCGTAGATTGACTGACTGATTGATTTGGCAGTCGCAGGCTCTGTGGTGACGACGGTGGCTTGTTATGTTTTTTTTATGTTTGACTGCCGTTGGCTCGTCTGGAAACAGACACTTCAAAGACATGTTTCATAACAGCAGGAAAGAATAAACACAATTATCATAGTAGGCTATTATCCAGGCATATTTTATGTGGCAATTAGACACAAAAAAATCTCCAATCTACTGACAAGTGTGCATAATTGACTGATATGTTTTGAACCAAATTCCAAAGGCTGCAATGGACAGATTATCAGTACTTTTCTATTCTTTTTTTAGTCATTTAGTACATCTGAGTTGTTCAATTATCATTTTAACCAATAGGATAACATGCAGCAGCTCTTTGTAAATTACAATAGAATTGTTCATCTATGCTGCCTTTGTAAACAATGGGCTGAACCAATGGCTTTTCACTATCAGCACGGATGCAGCATACTCTTCCTCAAGTACTGATAACTGAAATCTAATTTTGTCCAAACAAAACAAAATGCATTTTGTGGGCCACACTGCAAGTTATGCAACCTTTCTAATTAAATTTTCCCTCAAAGAGCGATCAAATTTGAATAATTTTACTTCCTTTCTTTTTTCTTCGTTTACCACTATCAAGCATAATTAATATACAGAGCAATCTCAAAAAAGTCTAAAAAAATTACTACTACTAGTACTACTAATTATTATTATTATTATTATTATTATTTTATTTATTTTGTTGGCCATGAGAGGTATGCTAAAAATATTCTAAGCAATAGGATTTATGATTTGATATGATATGAGTAGCCATGATATGAGTAGCCATAAAACAGACAAAAAACTTCTACCTGCAATAGTGTTGTTATTGGTAACTAACTAAAACCATTCAAATGCAGTCATTGAAATAAAGCTTAAATCAAATAAAATATCATTATATATTACAATTATAGTTATATATAAATTATATATATGTATATATGTATATATATATATATATATATATATATATATATATATATATATATATATATATATATATTAAATAATAAAAAAAAAAATTAAAAAATTGTTTAGTTGATTAGTGGTTTGGATCAGATAATCCATCTAGTTGATTTCAGCATAGCTGAACATGCAAAACTAATAATATTTCCTCCAGAGAGAGCACAAGAAACAGTAATGTGTCAGTCTAAGTTGTTTTTAGTGGCATATGACTGGGAGTGGTGTATTGTATACTTAAAATATAAAAAAGATAAAGTATTGATAAATAATAATATTTAATATAATATAATATAATAACAATAATAGTGTATAAATAATACTAAAATAACGTTGCTGCATTAATGTTCAGTGCATGCCATATAATAACTCAAATGAGGGATAGCTATTGAGAGCTGTGGATGGCAGTCGGCGGAGCTTCCTTTGTGCTTCCTGACACGTAGTCTGTCCTGTTGAATAACAGAAGAATCAATACCTTAGTCAGCACTCGGCAGAGTAACCACATCAGTTCCAATCACATTGAAACCAGCTTCAAATAATCTGTCTGCGCTCTGTGGCTGTTGAAATGAACTTGATTACGGTGTATGATGAATGCCACTCAGATCTCATGACCTTTAGCTAAAAGACAGCAGAACGATGATGTAGCGGATTTCTAAGCAATGCCCAGGGAAAAGCTCTTACCAAGTGCATTGAATGAACAGTTGAGACGATTTTCTCTCAGCGAGCCTTTTAATTGATGATAAAGGAGAACATAGAGATTACTATGAAGGTCAGGGAATTTTAACCAGGTCTTTGTTTTATAACCACAGCACCGGATCATTCTTAAAAGACCCAATTATCTGTTCTTTCAAAGCTGAAATTCCTTTTCTTCCATTTACAGAAAACGGTGGATTCCGTGCAAAAATGTATGATATTACCCAACATCCTTTTTTCAAGCGAGGTATTGCAGTACTGGTGTTAGCACAGTCTGTCCTCCTGTCTGTTAAGGTGAGGAGGGTTACAGCAACAAATACATTTTTGTTTTATTTCTGCACTAAAATTACAAATTAATTTTTATGTATGTGTTACAGTGGGATGAAGTTGACCCAGTTACTTTTCCTTTGGCCACAATGTCTGTGGTTTTCACTTTAATTTTTGTTCTGGAGGTAAACATGTTACAGTATATATTTCAAATTCTGTTTGCTGTGCTTTCATGAGTCAGTCCAAGCAAGATTTCTTTCCAGCCACAAAAAAGTTTTAAAATTCATCAGAGGCCTTATAGTTCATTAGGTCTTTCGTAAGTATTGTACGGTCATGACATAATTAAATTTGCTCTGCTGCAGGTGACTATGAAGCTGATAGCTATGTCACCAGCTGGATACTGGCAGAGCAGGAGAAACAGATATGACCTACTCGTCACATCCCTGGGAGTCATATGGATCATTTTGCACTTTGCTTTACTGGTACACATTAAAATGTCATGCATTTTCAGCCAGGGTTTTGTAACTTTTACCTGAATTATTTGAATATATATATATATATATGAGCAATATCACTCGAGTATGAGTGTGTACGAGTACGAGAGTGATATTGCATTTATACAACAGTTCGACGGAACCTAACGTATTCTACAATTAGCTCAGTGAATAATAAAAAAAAAACATAGACCCGGCTAGAACAAGCGGAGTAATACAACATTGTGAAAAGTCCTGTAGCGATACCAGTACAATATCTCACGGTTCTCAACCAATCAGATTTGAGAACCAGAACGAACTGTTGTATAAATATATATGATATATTTA